ATAGGGTCTGTTTCTTCGCTTTGTCTTTCCACATCGTATCGGTGTTATTGGAGTAACAATCTCCGTTCGTTTTCACATCATCCATTAGTCATCTCAAACTCGGTCTTCCATCAGCACTTATGACAACGCCGTCTAGCAGATCACGAATTGAACGTCAGGCGCAACCTCCATCCAGTCGCTTGCGAAGTGTCCTTTTGGCATTTTAAGCATCTCAATCGATTACGAACTACATAATTCCAGACATGTAGGCTCTCGGAACCATGGACCGGACGCATACTAAACTATCATGATGTACGAGCGTGTTAAACTAGGAAACAGCGCGATAGTGTGGATATTCTTTGAAATCCACCATCAGCAGCCCCATAACATTTTATTGAAGACAGCTCCACAGTTTAGATTTTGTTCACCGCAGTCATCTCTCAGTCATGCACGCTTCCTCAGGTCTGGTAAGGCACGGTACGTCCGTGTCAATCTTAAGCGTCTCGTCATTGGTGCGCTTTCTCAGCCCACTACTTAGTTCCGGCCCCCATGACTTTCGGATGCCAGCAGCTTGTGTCATTTAATCTTGGGTAACGGCGGCAAATTTACATGACTAACCCTTAAGCACGATGTAGAGCGACCCATACTCCATTGTTATGTCTATTGAGAACTGTGTATCTTACAAATAAGTCCTAAACTCCATGAACAACACGAATAGGCTTCATCAAAACAGACTTTGTATGCTTTAGGCGCTCAGGCGCACCTTCAGCACTTGGTCCGAAGAGATTGCCACTCGTCTCTAAGTCTCAATACTACGACCAATGCGAGAGTATGACTCTCCCGCGTATTGTCTTATCATCCCTGGGCGAGGTAGAAAAGATTGAGCGAGTGCAGCGTATAGACACCAGGCTGATTCCCAACATACGAGGTGTGCCGTAAAAAGACCGGTGTAAGAAACTAGGGCAGTACACCCTAACTTATCTTCGAATACGGGTTGACCTCATCATGACGCATCGGATATTACATCTGGGAGATTACCCCATGTTGAGACCTCTGCTTCATCTGCGCTCACCAACAGTACGCGAGGACACCGGTACAAGTTTGTCGTCCAAGATTTGAAACGGGTTGCTCACCAACTCTGTTTCGAACGCAGAGTGGTGAATGTCTGGAACGACGTGCCGCAGCACGTAGTTGAGGCAAAGTCGGTGTCGAAAGTTAAGCAGTTCCTGGACAAACACTTTGCCGACGCAAAATCTTTTGAACGCAACAAAACATAACGTGTCTTTGTCCGTGGTTGACATTAGATGCAACTACACAGAGCAAAATCTATTTGATGCTTCCAACCAGTAATCAGTAATCAGTAATACCTGCCTGAAACAATGAACTGCAGCAGAGTGATAACTTACTGCTTTATAGAACCTTTTCATTGATAACGCATAATTGGAGTTGATCATTCGCATCTTCATGGTAGAGAGCTGACCAAAAGAGCAGTATCATCACAAACAAGAAGGTAAGATTTCGTGAGGAGAATAAACGAAAATGCGATAATCAAGTAGACAAGTATGTAGCTATGTTTCTAATGGATCATTATGTAGAATAGGTTTGCTGACTAGTAAATTAATTGGAAATTTATTCTATTCACACTCATGCTCCATTGACTAATACGCGGCGATTGGTTTATCTTAGTTAACAAGTTTTCCGTCTAGGATTTGCCCGATATCACTAAGGAAATCAATCGTCCATAGAACGTTCGAAGGGGTCAGCCGGGTGAAGTTTACATGAAGCATCATCAATTAAACGATTAACCTTAGAAATGCTCAATATCAAAAGAAACCACAAGGAATATCCAACCTATTTGCAGACATAATCGCAAGTTTTCTCAAAAATAATTTTGGATAAGAGTTGTAGGTTCAAAATATATGTTTAGCCGATCTTTGCTAGCAGGATGTGTGAATTAGTTACACAATAAGCGATTGCTAGCTAGTGAAAAACCATTTGTATGTGAAATAGTCAACATAATTTTGCAACCGGTAAAAGAAAATACACATTGATAAGTCATTCTTCCCATTATTCACTTGAGGACAGCGTTTATGTTAGCGGATATTGACCGAGAGCCAGCTTGGCTGTTAGACACGACCTTTGCAAATCCCAGACTTTTAACTCCTAATAAGGCAGTATTATCGACCATTTATTCTCAGCTGGGCTTGCAAAATGATCATCGCTGGATTGGCGAACTTAAGCTGCGTCATTAGCTCAAAGATTAACTGGTGGGTGAAATTGTCTTCTACAGACGTTTTTCACAACTATGGTAGATCGACCGCGGTTCCACCGTAAAAAGTACTTGGGTTGTGTGCTCGTTAAAACCACTGCAACAACTGATATAGATAAATTAAAAAATCAGCATGATCAACAGTTGCATTGTTATGCACCAGGAACTACTGGATGCCTACCGTATGAAGTGGCGTTCTTCTCCTTTCCACATCTGTGATGAGTAGCCCAATCAAGCCTTGGAGTTCCTCCAAGATAGGCCGAAATACAAATCGTCGAATCTGGAATAAACTTCGAACAATAGTGTATAAACCCATGGATTAACAGATAACGTTAAAAGATTGATTTGAATTAGAAACTAAAGCTTTCAGTTGTTGCTAGAGACTGAGAAAAATTATCCCACCATGCCCTGTCTCCAAGAGGAATGCCCATGAACAAAACTAATATTGCCCAGCTCTCTCACAGTGAGATTTTAAAAAATAATCCGGTATCGATCCTCTTAAGATAGCTACTGATCGGCTTGTGTCTTGCGATGCTTGAACAAATTACTTTGGGGATATTAGCAAGCTCTGATTCAAGAGAACATAGCACTACGTTGGCATCGCAGGGCAACAGCATTAATTCTCCACAGCGTATGACTATAAGACGAAATTGGCGTAATCTATAAACCAGGCTGGCGTACGGTGCGAACATGTTGTACGTAGGTCATAACAAAATAAAGCAGCACGGGGGTGTGCTTTAACAAGGGAATATAAAATCAACCTTCGCAAGTTTTAACCACCACCGCCCTTATGTTGATGACATATTTATGATGTTTCAATCCTCCCAGTATATTGAAGATATCAGCAACACTTTTAACCGAGCCCATAATGCAAAGCACTTTACCTCCAAAGTAGAGAAAAATGGCTGTTTTCACTTTTTGGTCGTGGGCCTAAAGATACTCGATGGAGGGATACTACATCGCCACGTCTATAGAAAAAGCTCGTGGACAAACTTCTACAGCTTCGTACCACTGAAGCTGAAAATGAATTTAACTCATAATCTGGTCAGTAGAGCAGAAAGCATCTGCTCGCACGTTACACTTGCAGGCGAACTACAGCGAATCGGCTCGTTGCTACGGAAAAATGGTTATCCAGTTCACTTCATAAAAGTCCACTTGGAGAACAGCATGAACACACTGGTTGCTTTAACAGCTAACAGAAAAGCGATTTTTTGCAACCCCGTTACAAAGGGGAAACTGTTGCCAAAATCTTTACTCGCCGTCTATCGCAGGAGCTTAGACGGACGATCCTAGCAACAAAATTACATACCCATTTACCAGCACATCAATGGTGAAGCTCAGTCTCAAGGATGCTAGACATGTTCACGACAACTCTATGTGTACTTATTCATTTCTCTTTTTCTGTGGTTCAGGATATATGGTTCGTACGACTAAGTGTCTTTCCGAGGGAATAAAAGAACACCATTCGGCATGGCTAGCTACCGGATGCAGAAGGGTATGTAACGCAGCCATAGCTGCCCATCTTGCCGACACAGGTCACAACCATAGGCCAGCCGAAGCATTTCAAAGTATCTACAAGATCCCGGAATATCGATCGAGGTATATGCACAGGCCGGATACTAGAAGCCGCTGAAGCTATAGCCATCCGGTCGTACGAACCAAAGTTGTACACTCAGAAGCGATTTGTTCAGGCCTTACAACTGACCTGCCCCGATCGAGCAGTGGTTTTTACTCAGTTGGATCGTGGGAAGACTCCGACATTGAGCTGATTATTTGGGATACTTGACCTCTCCTAAACTGATTTTATTCCCTTATAACGACAGAGTAGTCGGTCTAGTCGATGTAATTGGCAAATATTTATACTAGCCTGATGAAGAATTGTCAAAAACATATGTACGCTAACATTGACTTGATTATCTTTATGGGTTTCTTTAAAAACAGCAGATGTTGGTTTAATTGAAATTAAATTTTAATCGTTTAATCCAGTAGCTAATATTTTCACTGAGGTTCATGATTATTACAAGGTTGTCCACAAACGTGCGGTGTAGCCGCATTTCCCCATATGGACTACTGAGTTTATGGTAAGAGTTTTAGTAGACAACTTTTGTTTGGTCATTCCGAAACCCAATTTTCGGTGTCATACAACAAGCGAATACAAAGTAGAAATATTTTATAAATCTAGGGCACTCATATGTATCTAACGGAGTTCAGGTTTAGTTAGTATTTTGAGGAAAATTAAACTCACAAATCGGCATAATGAATACAAAAGACACTGAATAACTGACGCTTTAATTGGGCACATTTTATTAAATTCTAAAGAAACCAATTTACGTTTTAAATGTCACATTTTATAAGCTGTTATTCAATGAAATTTCTAGTCCTTTGCATACATTAATTAATCGATTAAATGTACTAATCGACGTACAATGCTTGCATATTTAAATTATTGTGAGTCTACTGCAGTCGACAGTTTTCAGTCTCATCATGTTAGCTGTTTTGCTTAACAGTGTGAGCAGTGACTATCATAAATGATATTCTAAAATTTTGTGTTGGCTTCTACTTCAAATAGCTAGCGTTTCCTTGCAGTACACTATATACCGTGCTTTAGGAGTCTGGTGGACAATAATCGAGAATCCAAGATATGGGCACGGCTATGAACGAGATGTAACATCAGCACAAAGGTTGCATCCGTGAAATTTTAAATATTTTGATAATTTATGGCGACGAAATTACTAGGCCAAAACTGACTTACTGCCTGAGTCGATCTCTCCAGATGTTTCCAGTTCCACCGCTGCAGTATAAGCAGTTTGAATCCAGGGGATGCGATATCTAACAGGTAGGGCCATCCTTCAACGTGCTGCATTCCAATGGATTCTTTGTGTTAGTAACGAAGATAGAATATGATTACAATATGGGTAGTTTGAAACGAGACCACAAAACTTTGCTAACAGTAAAATGACGTTAATACATAATTAATTACTGTGCTGGATAATTTATTTACAGTATATATAACAGTATATAGAAAGGCCATTTAAGCTTCCACGTACGTGACAATGGGTAGCTAATTCTGACTTATTGTGCAAATGTATCCTTGGACGTAGTAGATTGGCAATAATGGAATCGGCCCAAAATGTTGATTTGCTTTATTAACGTTTGGAAATCTCTATGTTTACGTTGGTATAATGTGTTCAGAAACAGTGGGTTACATTTGCACGGCATATTACATTGTTCGTTCTTTTGACGTGCAGCGAATTCACGCTGTTATTTCAAATTAAAAGTTTATTAACTTGGCTTACGGCAAATTAATATCATCTTGCCTTAATACTAGTCATTTATCTCGTTTGGATAAAACGACGTGTTTAATTGCGGTGGCAACAACAGCATGCAACAAGAATAATACTTGTTAACTCTTCCGGCATTGACCATTTCAAAGTGGTGTATCTACCAAGAATAATACGGTAAGCTTATTGTAGACCAATGCTATATTTTTTAAAAATTCTGAATGAGTTTGAGTTTACCCGCTCAATCTAAATTCCAAGTAATCTGCGGTTAAAATAAGAGCTAATTTCGTGTATTGCAATTCAGACCACTAATGCGAAGACTTACGTACGTTTATTCGACTGGATCCATTAATAGGCGTTCAACTCTTTTGTACAGTTTTAAAAAGCGGTCGGCGGTCATTTTGTATATTTGGAACACCAGCCGTTATTTGTAGTTAACGATGTAACCTAGCTAGCCAACACTAAAACTAAATTTGCTATCGTCTTTATTTGTCCGCCGTAGGGTAGAGTAGCATTGTAACATGGCTAAAGCAAAAAGTTGCCTTGATATCACTGTGGAAATCATTGTTTGACCATAAGGTGTACTTCCCTAGTTTATATGCAGCAGCATTCCCTGTTATATACTAAACTGCATTCGGCATACTTATGCGTTCACATGCAAGAGAAGCATGTAATAGTTATAAATAATAAGCCGTGTTTCCCTAAGTCCTGATGTACAGTTTATCCCCTTCAAATTTCAGTCGATATAGGTGCAAATAACCATATTTACTCAAGAATCCCAACTACCATGAAGATACCAATGAAGCAAGACTTTTCACGCCGTAATTGGCTTTCGTTTCATTCTATGCGGCCATTCAAATTCACTACACACATTCTTGTGCGTGAGCCCAGTCCAGCCAGTTCAAAGACCGCTACGCAGGGCTTCCCACAAAGTGGATCTACATTGCTTGCATCATACGCATGCTTAAGTTTCCATTTTCGGCATATGCTTTGTCGCGTTCTGCGTGTGCAATTAAACAAAGTCTGAGATATTCGAGGAACAAGTTTCTCTCGTTCGGAAGCAGAAGCTGAGGACTGTCAAACGATCCTGCTACCATCCCTCCAGGCTGCAGCATAACAAGGTTGTGGTTTTTGCTTTGCTCATCTACTGAACATCGCTTCTGAGACACTTAGAGACGCTTATCAGCGTCCCACTTGTATTGCCGATTAAGACATGCTGCCGCTTCGTGTGGTTGTTTGAGTAAAACGAGGAGACGACAGATCGCTTAACCCGGCAGTCTGCGCGCGGCCACGAGTGAGACACATATCTCTCTTGGCTGACTGCTGTTGAGGAGAGAACAATCCAACTAGGCTCCAGGGTTGAACAAAGCTCAACTCATGTGCCTGGTCTGACGTGTACTGGTGCCATGTGCACGCCTAGCTCAGAGAAATTCCTCATTCGTGACCGCCATAACCCCGGCGACGGCTCGGATAGATCTCACTGCAAACGAGAACTGTGCAGCGCCGTGTACAATCTTCAGAGAATTACCGCATAGCATTTAAGATCAGGATTACCTGTTCTAACTGCATTAAATCGGATCAAAAACATGGTATAGAAAAATCTGTTTAAGAAGTGAGGCAGATAAACAACGTTGCTGACACATTTTGGTTTTGTATATGTCATATCATTCCAGTTGTAAACTGGTTATCTTTGCTCACGGAGAAGTACGAGAAGATTATCGTAATCGCTCATTTTTTAAATACTAAGACTGCTACCACGGAAGTACATATGGTCACCTACTTCCTCAACCAACTAACGTAAGCCCCGCCTCTATGCTGAATAAGAGAGCCATACGCTCCAACGGCATTGCAGCCTCTTTGTCTCTAAATCCTCTGGGCCACCTCACTTACATCAGCGAGCAAACTTCAAACATGCCAGTGTCCGCTCCTCCAACCATCGACGATTCACCTAGGACACAGGTTCCCAAACATTTATGCCCATGGACCCCTTTTTAGTGGAACTTCGCAAGACAGATCCCACGAGATATCGTAAACCACAGGACTAGCTTTAATAAAATGAGAATGAAACCTAGTGTTATGGAAAGGTTCCTTACTGTACTCTGAATTAACCTTGATATTCCACCACCACCTATACTAAAACGTAGTTTGTGGGACGAAATCGTTCCTGTCAAACAGTGTTGCTTTGTTTGCTCTTTAGTGTTATTGAAGAAAAGTTTCCACCTCATATCCGGTTCGGCTTTAAGTCTACTGCGCTACTTTGTTCTAATATAACTGTCAAGTAAAAATGGACTTTCATACTGATAAGTTGTGGTAAATGGGCGAAGCACGGCGACAGCTCTCTTCGATTTGACAAAGTTTTTCCTTCGTTTTTCCCATAATTCAGACTGCGAAAACTGTGAAACCCTTCCTGAAGGGAAGGATTTGACACCATGTGGATAATTTACTTAAAGTGAAGTGCTGTTAAAAGAGGCGCCTTTGTCATGCAAGTAAGTTTATACTTGACCTATGCACGTTCTTTCCGGTTTTCCCCATTTTTACTTGAGATATAGTGAGACAACCCTCTGCCGGATCTTCAAAATGCTGAAACATTTCCCTAGACCGATTCGCTGAGATTTCTGTGTCCCTTTCCTTTGTTCTAAAATGTAGCAAATGCCGGAAAGCTGCCAAGATTCCACTCCAAACCTAAATGGTCCAAAAAACCTTATTTTAACCGTCGAATTTTATAATTTGTGTTTAATATAGTCGCAGATATTCCTTGCAATGCGTGGTTTACTTCATTTAGTTTTGTAATGAAATCGGGCACATGGACTACCCTTGACAATCATGTTCAGTCAGTGATATTAAATGTACATCAAGTCATTGATCCTTGAAGATTACGAAGACTTCTATACGTATTTCTAACAAACGCAGTAATATTTTGAAATGAGTGAGCCATCTTACTTTCGTATGCATTATTAAAGATGTGCGGAAACTTCCTGCATCGTCAAATAGAATCATAAGATGTCAGTTGTCCAGAGGCCAAAATTTAATGAAATATATAATGTAGCTGCCTGGTCGGGGACCGTGATGAGATTTGGTGGCATTTTTTAAATGCAAGTAAATGTCGATTATAGCTACACAGGCTAATTGTGCAGGTTTTCCAAACGGCTTTGAGTTTTCACATATACTAGCAAACTATCATGTCTTTGCTTTGGAACCATCAATGGAAATGCCGATGCAGTTGTCCAGTGCAACCTTAGTTTTGTGCATAAAATCATTCACCATGTTAAACATCTCAGCTCCACTAGTGTCCTTCGGTAGAGTTTCACACAAACGAGTGTCTTCTTCCCGCGATAGTAGGTTTTGAAATCTTACAAGCCCAATCAGCACGGCAAATCCTGCCGCATTTCTCGACTCATCCATTTAAAGAGTGAATTGTGTATAACAGATGCAAGCGGGTGATTCCTCCTTAACAAAAGTTGAAATGTCTTAATTCTTCGAGATACTGTATCCTATGGTACTGGTATAATGGTCATTTGTTGTGTTGATTTTTCATCTAGCATGCACCTAGTCATTTGGCTGCACATGGTTTGATACTTTTCTTGATTATGGTGTGAGGTTTTCCTGTTAGCGCTATGCGATAAATAATTATGTTATAAGCATCAGTAGCCATGTAATTTGCGCTTTAAGAGGCGTGAAACATGTACCTTTTGGTGTTAAACCGTTCATATCACATGAGCGCAAAGTCCTACATTTTTCTCTCTTTACAGTCCACATGCATTTTTCTCAAAATATCGCTGCATTTTTACTAGACACCATAGAATGGTTCGTAATGACATTGTCACACAAGCCACACTATGGGCCATTATTGGACTCCATAAATCCAAAAGCAACATAAAGGTCGTTGTATTAACGTATCTTACCTACCCACTGGAACAGAAGCTTCAGTTCGCACAGATTTATGTATTACTGTATCAGGTAGAACCAGTACATCGAACATTTCATTTGCTGCATTCTCAGTGGGCAAATTACATGATCCAACTATCCTTCATCTGATTACAATGAGATATATTTATGTGACACATTTACTATTGTATCAACCTTCACCCACCGGTCCATGTTGAGAATATACGTCCAAATACCGAAATCGAACATTATAATATAACACTAAAGTCCATAACACCACTGCATTTAACAAATAATGATAAGTTGCACTTTGAATGAAGTATAAAATGAAACAGAAAACGTCACTTTTTGGTAACGTCGCAAAAATAATTTCCATCTATTCCGCGAAATTAAACGAGTAAACTCTTAAAACACCTTGGTGCATCTCACATTGTGTGCCGATTTTGTAAGGAAATGCATCTCGACTGAACAAATGGCCAACGGTACATATCTGCCTATTGGCGATCCTGTGGTTCGGTAAAATCCTACGAACTACTTAAGGACCACTATTTTTACATCGTAATTACAAAAGTTACTGACAGGAAAAATTGGCACATCTGCGTTTTCTGTACAACTCGACCCACAACCCACATTGAATAAGTCCCACTTCCAAAATATTTAGGTTATTTCTTAACAGACAATGCAGTCTGTGAATGTAAACTTGGAACATACTTAGATGAATAAGCTTCAAGTTTGAAGATTTGCAACATCTACTGTACGCTCATTAATCCTCCAGAAATCCGATCAAACAGAATTAAATAACACAATGAGTATTCTGGTGCTTTCTAAGAGAAAAGCTGAGTTGCTGGCCTCCCGGGTACGAATAAAAATTATACTTAGCTTCAGAGTAGAAGTTTCTTTCTACGGATAATGGAAGGAGACGTTCCCGCCTATATTTCAGCAGCTACACTTGATCATGCTATACTTTTCCAGGGTTCTTTTTGCATTTGTGGACTTCAAGTTTGCCCTTTTTTAACTGTTAACTTATGACAGAATGTCCGCTCTTTCTAAAGATACATGTGGGTAGTTCATTGGACACAACCTTTTGATTACTGCGATAATACTTGCTGATAAGTTATTTCACATATATTTATGTCTACCCGATTTCGACACTGTTGAAGGTACCTAAATAAATAACTAGAGTAATTTCAACGGGGACTGAATGGCCGATTAAGCTTGTTGTCGGTAGATAGGGCAATATGTTCATGGACGCTATTCCGATAGCTTCATATTATTTGGTCGATCCATAAGCAAAAATCGCAGGAACCTTAAGTATAAACGGAAATTCATGCATATCTTAATTAGTATTTTGTGCATTCTATATGGACATACTGGAAGCAGCCAAGTAAATTGAAATATAATGGCTACTGGTCAAGTCAACCCTGCATCCTTCGATGCAGCTTGAAATACTGTAATGCAGCTATATTTTTCAAATAGAAAAACTGACTGACTTACTTGCACCTCATTTGAATAGGGGTTTTAAAAAGGGAAAAGGAAAAATAGCAACGAATTCTTCCAGTAAGTTAAGTAAAACTGACCTGCTAGTGGTTTGAGATATTTCTGTTTGAGATTTCCAGACTCACTGTAGGCATACGGTGCGTACTTATTCAATATACAGAAGCTGACATAATCTTGGAGATCGCTGAAAAAGCAGAAATCCGATAAGTGTTTCAGTGACAACTTAAGCGAATATATCCTGAGTGTTGGTTTGATAAAAATACCTTCTAATATGGTCGCAAATTACAATAATGCGGATCGTGCAGTAGATGGACAGCGGTATCTAAAGTGCAACATTAACAATGTTACTAAATAATGCTGCCCGCATGGAGAGATCCTTAGATACATGTCGAATTGTTGTATCTACAACTGAAAACAGAGGTTTGCCGTATTTGCAGAGTTCGGAATGCCTCAGTAGACGTGCCAATGCGCATCAGTGGTCCTGAGCTTGCATCTATGACTCTAGATAAATACGCAGGTCTCTTCATATACGCCAAACATACATATATTACTGTTAAGAAAATGAGTGAAACCAAATTAAAAGTAAATAACCTTTGTTGTGATTAGGAATTTGTAAGCTATTTAGACCATGTCTCCTGGAAGATACTCAATTGCCTGTGCATTAAAATGATCGTCGCAACTTGACTTAATGCCAACCCAGTACTTTGTTTGAAGACCATTAACGTTCTGCTTTATAGATCTGGGCGCCTTGGAAATAGCCAATCCCCCGTACAACCAAGATAAACTCCTCAAACTTTAAATATATCTTGCATCGACTGTCGCGCAGAGTATCATGGGTTGCTTTATCTGCTTCATACAGCAGGGCGGATAAGAAAAAATAAGCTACTGCTTGCTGCTACGTTATTCTTCTTTCAATTGTTTCACATACGTCCAAACCCTCATTATTACAATTACTTACATAATCCCAAGCTTAACTGATAGCAGCCGTAATGCTACTGGAGCGTAACTGTCTACAGATACATTCCTGCATAACGGAATAGACGGCTATCAGCAACTGTCTCTTATGAGACCACACTGTCAGCTTTCTATGACGGCTTACCTCGTTCGCAATCTAAGAAAATAGGTCGAATGGCCGCACTAGCACGCATGTTGGACACAGCTGGATTACTAAATTAACTGCGCCCAGCTTGTTCTTTCGCTTTTTGTTGCGCACATCCAGAGACGATGATGCGGCAGTCATTGGTCAAGCTGTGTTTGACATCGTTCACTGTTCCAAGACTGAGCCATGGTTGGTTAATTGCATTCCCCTGAGCACGCGATTGTGTTCAGCCCGTTGACCACATCAACTAAGGTTGCTTCACGAATTAGTACAAGGCGCCGTTTGTATGTGGTTTCCGCTTATGCGAATGCATATCCGTCGCTGGCTAGGGACACATCCTACTGTGGTTGATTGAAGGTAGATACTACTGAAACGGATATAAGTAGTGTGATGCAAGCTGACACACCAACAGCGAGCCTTGCCGACTTCCCCAAAGTTGAAGATGACCTCAGGATTCCAGTTCCATGTGCACGAGGAGTAAACACAGAGACAAGCACCAGTTGGGAAACACTCTATGGAAATCACGCGGATGAGCGGATGCCTCCAAAGTAACTGTATGAGAATCACGCAGATGAGCGGACGCATCCAATGTATGAACGAACACACCTAGTATAAGCCACTTTAGTAATAAACAATTACCGCCTGCCACGGGTTCTTACATTTGGTGCCGTGACCTCAAAACCCATGAAGATCCCCTGGCCGGAGCCATTTGAAGACGGGGATGTGAAGGTGTTTTTGGAGGATTTCGAGGAGGTGGCAGATGCGGTAGGACTGAAGACGGACCGGGCGAAGTTGGCGGCCCTGCGGAGTCTCCTCAAGGGCAGGGCGAAGGCGGTTCTGGAGGCGGCGCGAAGAGGTCCGGTCAAGTTGGAGTGGACCGCCGCGAAGGAAGCGTTACTCTCTGGCCTGGACACGCCAGCGGACCGCCAGGAGGCGATGCGACGGTTCAAGGCGTCGCGGCTTGGTGCGGGGACGGATCCCCTCGTGTTTGCGGTGCACCTCAGGAGCTTGTTGGACCGCGCCTTGCCGGGGTTGGATGGGCCGTCAAGGACGCAGTTGCTGGTGGATCAGTTTTTGGCCGGCCTCCCCCAGCCAACCGCGGAGCGCGTTCGGATTGCAAATGCCACTCGGAAGATGCAATTGGAGGAGCTGGCACAAGTTACTCGAGACCTAGGCGACGCACCACTAGCTGCGCTGAAGGAAGAGCCACGTGAGAATGTGGAACGGATGGAAAAATTGGAACGGATGATGGAGCAGCTTACGGAAGACATCAATGGGCTTCGCGTTCAGCGTTATCGGGTGCGCACAAAGGGATGTTGCTTCATCTGCGGTAAACCGGGGCACTGGAAGAGACAATGTCCGCAGAGGCGTGGTGTTACTCGGGAGTCGAATAAGCGTGTGCAACCTTATTTTTCTTTGCGAATCAAAGATTGTGTACTTGGGGCGTTGAGCAGGAGTGCGGTTGAAGCAATGGTGGAAGTAGACGGAACGATGGAAAGGTGTCTGATCGATACGGGTGCCGCGGTGTCACTAATCAACCATCGGCAAGGTGAAAAGCTGCAGTCGTGCTGCACGATCGTAAGAGCGGTTGGCGGTCATTCAGTGGGAATTGATGGTATAGCCGAACACACCGTAGGAATCGGGGGACGAAAGCGAACATACTCCTTTCTCGTTTCACCAGATGCGAAACAAACCATATTGGGAGCAGATTTCCTGGAGCTCAATAAAGCTGTCATTGATCTAAAGCGTGGGAAGTTGCTAATGGAATGCGGGTCACTGCCACTCATTAATCGTGGAGAAATGCGATCTTCGCAGTCGGTCGTTGTTGTGTTACATTTGAGCCCACCTTTGCAGTCGCTGATTAACAAATACCAACCCTTGTTTACGGATGACAGCAGCCAATATGGGTTTTGCGATTGGATCGAGCATACCATCCCGCTAACTCGCCAACCGTATCGGCCCCATGGACCTCGAAGGATACCAATCCACCTGGAGGCTGAAGTGAACAGGCAAGTGCAGGAAATGCTGGACGCGGGCGTGATTGAGGAGGCACATAGCCCGTACAACTCTCCTGTGGTCTTAGTGAAGAAGCCGAATGGGAAGTACCGATTCTGTGTCGACTTCCGAAGACTGAATGAAATTTCCTTGACTCGTTTCGTTCCAGTTCCATCAGTTGCTAATATTTTTGATCGGCTGCAGCAGTCGAGGATATTCACGGTCCTGGACTTGAGATCAGGATACTGGCAACTGGCAATAAAACAGGAAGATCGAGAGAAGACGGCGTTTACCGTTGGTGAGAAACAGTATCAGTTTAAGAGGATGCCCTTTGGATTATCAGAAGCCCCGTTTACCTTCCGACGTCTAATGCTGCGACTACTGAGTGAATTGGAAAACGTGGTGGTGTACGGGGATGATATCGTGGTGTATAGCCAATCAGAAGCGGAACATATTCATCATCTAGCGGCAGTTCTGGAACGTATTCAGCAGTCGGGACTTCGGATAAATGGACCAAAGTCCCAGATCGGAAAGACCTGTGTCACCTTACTAGGTCATAAAGTAGGGACAAGGCGAACTGAAACCGCTAACTGAGAAGATAATGACGATACAAGGCAGCCCACTTCCTACCTTGAAACGCACTCTCCGTACATTCCTGGGCCGCGCCGGGTACTACAGCAAATTCGTCAAGGATTTTAACACATTGGCCTCACCCTTGTACGAGCTGTTGAAACAAGATAGGAAATTCACGTGGAATGCAGAAGCTCAACGAGCCTTTGATCAGATTCTACAGGAAATGGGAAGGCAGGAGTTGACCCTGAAATTGCCCATCGCTGGTGAGATGTTCACGGTAGCCACTGACGCCAGCGATGGGGCCGTTTCCATTGACCAGGCGTGGTAACCAGTACATTTTATTGATGACGGAGCACTTCACGCGATGGATTGAGGCGACAGGCATCCCGGATCAACGGGCTAGCACCGTTACCCATGCTGTCATGAATCACTTGGTAGCGGCTCACGGAATCCCAAAGGCCATCTTAACAGATCAAGGGCCGTGCTTCGAGAGTGAAGAATTCCGGAACTGTTTGGAGAAACTTGGCATCAAGCAATTGCGCACCACCCCATACCACCCGCAAACAAATGGCCTGACGGAACGTAACAATAGAACAATCAAGGAGTGGCTAGCAGCAAAAGGTGGAGACTGGGAGGAAGCGCTGCCAATACTGTTGCTGACCCATCGAGCAACCAAATAGGCGTCCACAAAGAAATCACCATTCCAGTTGATGTACGGTCGACAACCTCGTCTACCTGTGGACCTAGAGATTGGAATGTGGCCAACTTGCCGTATATCTCCCGAGGAGACACGTAATAACCGGAAGACCGCCAACCGCAACCTACAGGCGACTCAGGCGCTGAGGATGGCGAAGTTCCAGACCAGCAAAGGTGGAAGGAATATTGAGTTTCAGATTGGTTCGAAAGTGAAGTACAGGGACCATCAACGCTATCCCACTTGCGGCCCAGGGGAGAGGAAACTCCTAGCGAAGTGGAAAGGACCGTACGAGGTAATCGACCGGCGAGGCCCAGTGTATACAGTCGCTCGGCAAGGTGAATCGCGGAGGGTGAATGCCAGCGAGCTGAGGAAGTGGTACGAATTGGAGGAGGAAACACGCTCGTACAGTGAACATCCCCGGCGGTCAGAGAGACTCCGACGGAAGGCAGCTGACCCGAATCCTTTGGAGGGGAGGTGTGTGGTGGATTGAAGGTAGATACTACTGAACCGGATATAAGTAGTGTGGTGCAAGCTGACACACCAACAGCGAGCCTTGCCGACTTCCCCAAAGTTGAAGATGACCTCAGGATTCCAGTTCCATGTGCACGAGGAGTAAACACAGAGACGAGCACCAGTTGGGAAACACTATGGAAATCACGCGGATGAGCGGCCGCCTCCAAAGTAACTGTATGGAAATCACGCAGATGAGCGGACGCATCCAATGTATGAACGAACACACCTAGTATAAGCCACTCTAATAATGAACAATTACCGCCTGCCACGGGTTCTAACACTACCACCAACTCAACACGCTACGTTGCGTTGTTTCCACTTCAGATACCATAGTTCTTGCAGGGGATAGGAAAGCGCAAGTAGCTTGCTTGCGCTCTTCAGAAGCTCAGGTGGGTGTTAAGTGTGGTCATGATTCCGAACGGACGGAAACGGTGAACGTCTGTTGCAACTGTGCTTGGGGCATCAGATGCTTCTTAGCAGCACCGCTTTTTAGCAGTTTTTGCCGAAGTGTGCCTTGAAGTCCTCCTGTCACTGGCTAACACTGAACTGAAGTTTATCATGCTGACATAAATTGTAAGTGGTGTGGCTACATTGGGAATTGCTGATCGTACTCGAAGACCTGCGTCGACTTTGACCATGCTTTGGTACTACGCCGTCTTTCCATGAACTTTAACGGGAGGCGAGAAAAGCGCATGCTTTGATTGGCAAATAAGCATTTGTCGCAGCCATCGTTCAGGTAAGCCAGCAGAATACTCTAGGTAACTAACTTTGGTCTAAAGACATGATACTTCAGTGGAGTAGTATCTCGGCCGCTATGCACGGCCAAGGAGCCTCTGCTTTGGGTACTATCAAACGTCACCGCGCCAGTCACTTATATCCGAGAAGTTGATGAACCAGATAGAATCCAATAAGAAACTCCCGACTAGCCCTGAGCCTAATGTGACTAGACAACACTATGAGACACGAAATAAAGCGAACGTAGGTGATGACAAGGAAGCCTGGTGGAACAGTCAGACTCAAGATGGGGATGTGGGAAACGCAATTGGAAATTAACAGAAGCTATTCCAAATGATCCGCACCGCTAAGCCTTGAAAACCAGGCCGCAGTGAGACAAGCAAGGAAAGCGTGTGGGTTCTTAATCACAATAAAAAGAGTACTTTGATTGTTGGGCAGAACACTTTCTAGATTAGTTCGGTTGGTCCCCTGTTTCCCGATTATTTCTTTCTTCGGTAGGGTTAGCTGAGCCATGGCCACTTTGTGTAGAGGCTCCGCCAGAGGCTGAGGGTCGGAACGCGAGCAGAGTACTCACTCATTTCATTGCTGCTGTCTCAGGATTGTCGCTCACCTGCGCTATTTTTGGATGGAGGTGAGAATCTTACAACTCTGAGCTTCCTGTTCGAACATGTGTGGAAAGAGGAAACCGTCCCGTCCGACTAGAGTGAATTGATTATATTGGAAATATACAAGAGGGGAATCTGTACCGTTGCGCTAAGTACGGTGATGACAAAATGCACTAGCCTTTATTATATTTCGTCGCGTAACCGGAACGGAAATCCCGTCTTGGGGAAGATCAGGCATATTTTCGCCGGTACGGGACTGTTAAAGCCGCAAATTCAAACTGCGGCAGGTGCCAGAGCTGCGCCACACGTACAGCAGGCCAAAATAGTTAGGTTCACCGACTTTAAGAAAGCGGCAGATTCACTGAATCTATTAGTTCTGTTCGGGCTGCTTTTGCGGAAAGGTGTTCCCATGAAATATGTGAAAAAAGTACTTGCCCTACACTCGAACACCATAAATCGATTCAGGTACTATGGTGAGTTGTCGGATGCTTTACCGGTAATATCTTACGTCGAAGTTGTCCAATTTCCCTATTTTGTTCAGCTACCTCTTGGATTATGTCATTGAGTTTTCCGTTGCGGAGCCTCATGATGGGGACGCTGTAGTCCCTGGAGAAAAGCCCTTACTTCTTGATTTGGCGGACGATATTACCTTGCTTTTTAACGTCCGTAAGGCGTTTCAAGCAACTTTGCATAACCGTTCGGAATTGGTTCCATATTTCTGCCAGCAGGTAGCACTTTAAAAGTGCAAAGTGTGGTTACAGGATCACAAGCAACTTGATAATCCATTGACCCTTGATAGTGAGGTACCCGAAATAGTCGATAGATTAACTTAGCTTCGAAACTGCATTATCAATCATTCGCCCATAAGCAATGACGTTAATTCACGTAGGAAAAAGCCAGTCCACTTTTTTGATCCGTGACATCGTTCGCTTGGGAATGGAGTTTCTGTCCTTCTGAAAAGCCGTCTTGATTAAGCCACAGTGGGGTCCGTCCAAATCAGTGGTAGTAAATGTTTGCCCGTTCGATCTGAAGCTATTTTAATTTATTGCAGCGCGTTGTCTGTGAAGTATGGTTGGTATTGGTTGGCACCAGTGTGTCCGCAACGATAATATGGGTAGGCGAGTGCTTGACAATGATACTCAAGCTATTTCCATAGAACAACCGACAGCACTGAATGAGTTGCGTTGGCTGAAACACGTACTACGTGTGCCTGGTTACCGCTTATGTGGGTGGGCTTGCTTTGTCTGCCAGATGTAGGTTGGCGCGACACTGGAGGTGGACAACAGTTAATTTTGTAGCGGGAAATACAGACAACGACGACCAACATGGGTGCCTTGGTTCATCTCACCATCCAGGCTTTGGTGCAGGTGACTCGCCTTGTGCTTCGCTTGGGAGGTTAGAAGACAAGGCTCGCAAAATGCAACGATGGCACGTCTGCTGTCGTACCCTAGTCGGACAACCTGTTTAAAGTTCCTTTACTGCTGAATTAACTGCGGGGTAAATGATTATGACGCACAGCAGTGAATGTCGCAAGGAAATTGTCTTGTTTACGTGGCCTAATCTTTGCATGGTAGCCAGCTCTCTGTTGACAAGTTGCAAGTGCCTTTATTCCGATTGCCTGGTTAAGTTTTAAGGCTCACCGTAAGTTCCCATTTTCTCCCTCTTATTGTTCTTCGTTCTGTAGGTCCTTGTTATTTTACGACAGCGAAGCATCAGTTCACATGGCGGACGCAATGCTGTTGATGATTATGATGCATTAAATGCTGAATAAAACCGTAAGCATCAAAGTTTAACGGTGGTTATTTTGCGGTGTAATTCAATATACACGGTAGTAGTCGTTGCTGCGGTTACGATGTACCTCAACGTTGGCCAAGTTTTACCATCTGAAGGAATGGATTTGAAAAGGATGTGATGAATATGCCCTGATAGTATGTTTATCTGAATAGCCAATTATGTCGTCGTCATCAAACCAAAAATAACTTCTGAGAAATTTCAGTCAAATTCAGAGGCAAGGAGTTATTAGTGAACTAAAGTAAACCAGATCCTTTGAGCCGAAATAATTTGCACAACACAGCAACTGCGCAAAATCATAAACGAAAATGGTTGTAAATCCTCCAAGGAAATAATGGAGATAGAAACCTAACTGTATCATTAGTAAGCAGTACTCCATTTCCCCGAATATTTTGGGTGCAGTTGTGTTCGCTTGACCGAGAAGACATGGGCACTGATATAACTCAATGAGATCAGAAAGGGAAATTAGTTGCTTAACGCGCAATAGTGTATCCAGATTCGTCCTTATTAAATTTTCGCGAAAACGTTTCGTCGATGATAAACTATGCTTCGCATGAATGAGAAATTGCAATCCATTCAAAACTAGAAGAAAAGTCTTCTTTTCGCAAGTGTAAGCATTCCGAGACAAAAGTCAGCTCCTCAGAATAATTAGCGTAAAAGTTTATATCATTGTTGTCGGTATACAATGTTTGCTATTGGCATCCCAACTGTTGAGAAGGCAAGACAACTTAAACGTTCCGAGAACTGAGTCAGAATTAACCATTTTATCTGTATTCAATTGGAAGCGATCCTGCAACAAAGGCTAGTTTATGCACTATGTGAGGGGTGCAGTTTTTTCGATTTTGTCTAATTTTGATGAAGCAGGAATTTACAAACTTTTACCATTAAAAGAAATCAACAGGTGTTTAGGAGCCCTTATATTATGGATTTGTGATATCGGAATATTAATTTGATGGAACATGTCTTTAGTTTCATCCTTTTACAGATCGTGATGGAGCATTGACTAATGAGGTGAAAAAGCCAAAATGTGGTTATACGCAACAATTGTGAGTAAATTGGAATACCTGTGAAACATTTGGCACGAATTTATGTCTGTTTGTACGGTGTATACAGTGTAAATTTTATAGTCATTATCAGTATATGCGTACCACGACCATGTTTTTCCAACTTTCCTTACGCTGAATGTGAAAGTGTTAGTCCGTTGCATACATTGAGGTCCAAAATTTTTTAACACTCTAGGGATCATAATATCCTGAAAACTGTACTGCATTCAGCTACTTACCTGAAAGAGGTCTCAGATAGCAGACGCCCAAGTTCTTCAAAGTAGTTTACATCTGTCACCCAAACAGTCAAATCACTTCGAATGGCAATTGAGTGGTTACCGGTCATGAGATGACCCAGATAACGGGGTAGATTTATCTAAATTAATGTGGGTAGCACAGGAAATCAAATATATAAGATTTAGCAACTGTCGAGATATCTAGTATTTTTGTCATGGAATAAGAAGCCGCTATTCAAATTTCATTTAGGCATTATTTTAGGACGCATTCATCCTCCTATATAATCGGAACCAGTCGGAAATATGAAATAACCTCATGTAATTTCCGAAAGGTTTGGTAACGCGTGAGGCACTGATTAATACCAAGATTTTTGTAAATCAATGTCATAGCTATAAAAGGTTTTTACTTACCGCTTTTTGTGTTTTTTGCATTAATTCTCTGAGGGTCATTTCAACCGGTTTTCTAGATAGATGTGACGTTTTTCGAAGCATCTGAGTGCAGAGGTAAACAGCGATTCGAAATTGAAAATACGCTTACTAATTTACAAAATATATTATATAACCCATAAATCATGCGTCCACGTTATATTTTCAAAATTTTCCATGGAGCTTATCTAAACTTAAAAGGTGACTCTTCTGGCACTAACAAGAGAAAGTGCTTAGATCTACTTTAGATCAGCAACTATTATGTTTGCTGTTTGACCTTGTCAAGCAGAGCTCAAACGTAAGTTCCAAAACTAAGTGATCATGGAACATCAAATATTAATATTGATATATCTAAGCGAGTTGAGTTTGCAGCAACAAGACGAACGGAACACCAATAGAAAGTGTCTAGTTCTTGGAAAAATGTAATTAATAATCATGATGGATGAAGCTTTTTAACATACAACCTCGAACAAATGGTTCAGTTTGTTGTAGGGTGAGAACTTTGCGACTCAATGAATTGGATGTATAAATAGAAGCAGAAATGTATCTAAGCGCGTAATGAGAATACATTAAGGAACATCGAAAATAGATCGCACTGGTTAGCAACTAGGTTGTATAGTTATTCAGTTGACAATAAGCAGCTAGCATTGATCCCCTCCAGCAAAACGTTCTCACTTCCAGAACCAACAGCTGAGCTTGCTAATGTAAAGCAGCAAAAGGCAGTATTTTAAAATGACAAGAAAACCGGTTAAATTTACATATAAAAGGCGATGTGGTTTAGATTAGGCATTAAATTCGCACTATGAACAATGAACAATGATTTATTACGAGATAAAAGCAATTGCCTGACACTTCCCTTGGGATGTTTGGGGTGAAAAAGATGAAGTCAAAATATGTGTGGGTCATCTACAAAACGTCTGCCGAGGTGAAAACTTTGATAAATAACACCGGTGTAAATGTATAAGTATCGAACGGAAATGTGCAGCAATACACTGCGGTGCAGTGGTCGTTGATATATGGCGTGAGAAAAGTAAAATACGGTCGCCCACGTGGGTCCATTTGATACATAAATTCTGTAGAAACGTATTCTTGGCATAATCCGCAATAGAGGGGTTTAGATAAGCATGTACTGAGAGCTAAGATCAACATCTAATCGCTTTTTGAAAATGTCCAAGTTAGAGAAGAATATAACTGAGTCTGGGAGTGCGTTCCAATGTTAGCAAACACGAAGGAAAAAGTAATTCCGGCTACATTCTAGACGGCTATATTGTTCCTACAATTTTAAGCAGTTACCCCTGAGCTGCGTGCTGTGGCTAAGTTTCAGCAAGTGGCGGAATACCCTAATATGCGATCGCCGCACAGCCTTCGGTAGAGTCCACTGAAAATTCCCAGCAACTTCATTTTCGGTCGTAAGAGTGGTAACGCAGGTCATCTACTTTCTTCGTTGCTCTTGGTTGTGGTGCCTTTAACGCTTCTAGGTCAAGCTTCAACCAAGTTTGTCAAGGTTGGATAGCGTATTCAACATGCGAACGCAAGTAGGAATTGTGCATCATTCGGAAGATTGATGATTCAAATCTCCCGAACGCCCTTCGCAGCATGCCGATGACAAGGAATATCTCCGAATCGTGGAACTTTTGTTAAAGTCTACATTAATTAATGCTTGAGGGCTGCCGTTTGATCCGATACAAAACAAGATTATTTATTAGATGTTGCTAGGGAGTCATTTTGAACGTATACATCTACCGCAGGCAAGTGTAATATTCCGTCTTACAAATCTGATTTTTCGGCAAACATCTTACTGATACTTTGCAATGCAAAGCGGATTGCAAATCTAGCATTCCAAACTTCGCTACTTTCATCTATTGTGAAGTTGGTGGCTAAAACTATTCAAAGGCCATGGCGATCATTTTACACTTTTGATTAAAATGTTGTCTTTCCGGTTCTGGAAGCTGGAAACAGATTACATATATAGTACTGAGTATAGAGTACTTCACCTCGGTTCAACTAGTACTGCAAAATTTAAAAAGGTTTGCTCCTGAGATGGTCCAGCGACACTTCAAGCTACATTTCACTTATCCCCGAAAATAATATAATGGGAGTTTTGCACCGTGAATGGAGTTGACAAAATCGTGTTTGAGATAATGAAAATCAACCTGTGCATTTTACAGGATCAGAACTAATAATGCATACAATGTTATTAACGGTGTTCATGTCTGGGATCATAGGGTAACCGATAAACAATAGCGAATCAATGGTCGCATTTCTGAAACTTACCACATTAATCAGCTAATGTTTACTAATAATCGAATATCTGGAACAGATCTTACAGAAATTTTCGAATTTATTATACTATATCTTAGGTATCTCTTGCGACTGTGGCGCGTTTTCTTTTCAGAACACAGTAACTAATCGTGCGACATCACAATCTCATGATAACGCATTTAACCGCTACCGCTGCCTGTCGTAAGGCCGCGCTTTATCTCTGCTCTCGCTGCACTCTCTGTGATCACTGCAGTTCTCCACACACATGTGCATGTGTTCGTTCCTACCAGTCCGATGAGCGCTACTCAGTGCTTTCCTTCGCTTAGATCTTACTTGTGTGGATCATACTGTTATCCCCGTCCTCAGTTTTGGCATATTCTTCGTCGAGTTCTGCTTGTGAAATCACATCCCTCCTGAGCATTTTGTGGATAATTTTGCTCTCATTTGGTAAAAGCTTAGTACACTCAAATGACCCTGCTACAATCCCTACAGGCGGCAGCATAACAAAGGTGCGAGTCATTTTGTGTCATTCAACTACTTAACCTAGTGGCCGAAGCACTTAGGGTTCTTTGCCAACGTCCCACGTTCGCCGCCGTGTAACGCGACCCCATCAATACACGCTGAGCCTTTGTGTTCTTTTGCGCACCGCTGAATCCCACTATCTGTGCGCAGCCGTAAGATTGTGGCCACTCTCTCGGCTAGCTTACCTTGACGCCGGATCAATCAATCCAGGGTTCTGGGTAAAGCTAACCATCACAATTTCGCGTGCCCTGATGAGTGAAATAGTCGAGTCGCGTTGCTAAAAGGCGCCTGTTTAAAGTGCAATAAGATGGTCAAAATAAGAATTTTCTGTGGAAATTGCTAAATCCATTTCCTTGCGAAATGCGGGAAAAGCCCACTAAGGGAATGCAAACTGATCAGCAGCAAACCTGACTCCTTTTGGTTCTGTACGAAGTTTAATACTGTCCCACAAGTTACAATCGTAATTTCACTCTCCCAGAAGTAAGAAAAACGTACAGACATAGTTGAGAAGGTGCTGGGCACCAAAATAGCTTTGGTAGAAACAAGCGCAGCAAAATGTTTGATGCAAGCAACTCCACCCAACTCCAGTGAAAGCCAACTCAACAACGCTGAATGCTACACTAATAACGTTGCACCTGCAAATACTACCAACATTCCAAATCGCCCAAGCGTTCCTGAACACCTAACTAACAGCCCATATACGACAATTTCCCCCAACCCCACTTCCCCAACCAGACATCTTCATAACCCAGGAAACACGCACCTTCCAGTGGCAGTTAGGCCAATTTTGACTCCAAGTGCACCCAAAAATTAGACGCTGCTTTTTCTTTAATCACGCCTATAACTCATGTGAAAGGCAACGCCGCACGGATGCATAACAAATCGCTGGATCTCCCAACTACGGTCCACACTTCAAAAAGGACACCCAGAAACAACTGGATGCCCTATCTATAATATGTACCAACGTTACTGAGACAACATCGAATTCTATGAAGTGGAAGCAGATGGATTGCCTGAACCAATGGAATGCCATAAGTAACCTCCTCAGCATTCTGACTAAACACTCGAACTTGACGAGTATCTCTTGTCACCCGAATTCCAAGCATTACGGCGAATCTAGGCTTCATTGGGTTGTGCTAAGCTCTGTTGATGAGGTAGAATCAGCGTTGTTTCGACTGGTCGTTTTCAGAACGAGATTAGTTTGGTCCGCTTCTTTCCAGGCTTTTTTTGGATCGAGCGTAAAAGAGCTAGGCAAAATTTAGAAAAGTTCCTGCTAGATGCCGCAGCCAGAGCCATTTTTGTCCAAGGCGTCCTTTGGTCTCACGAGCCCGAGGAATTCGAAGCAAAGACACACGGCCGGGAAGAGTGGAGCTATATTCGTGAGACTCTGCTCTTTAATGACGTTGTTGCTACTTCTCTATCGAGACTGCCAAGAGCAGAAATATACAAAGGTTACAGCCCAGGGATAATTAAGGTTTCATTACAAACCACAGAGATAGCACTTACGCTAATGGAACGCTGGCCTTCACTTCGGAACAGACTGACGACCGAGCTCTAGTTCTAAGTGGCTAGCGAAACTGTCGTGGGACTTAAAGCACCACCTCAGCAAGCAAACGAATCAGTATACGTATCCAAAAGCAAATTTGCAGTAAGAGTGTGTCTTCCTATGCAATCCTGCAGCCACTCCCCTGCATTGTGCAAAATGAATTGCCAGAGTGATTAATCACAATGCCACCGAACCAAACTTCAAGCGACTCTCCAAGAATACCACATAAAACTGGCTAGTCGCCGACCATACAACGGTCTTCACAACCTACCATTCTAGCCTCAAGTGTCTCGGATCGTTGCTGAGAACCGAAACACTTTACTGCATGTACACGAAAGCCCAAGGCTTCCCCAG